AGGAGCTTCTTGTTACTACTAGTAAGGCACTTGTTACTAGAAGCGATGCACTTGTTCCTAGTAGCTTCTTGTTACTACTAGTAAGGCACTTGTTACTAGAAGCGATGCACTTGTTCCTAGTAGCTTCTTGTTACTACTAGTAAGGCACTTGTTACTAGAAGCGATGCACTTGTTACGTTCGTAGCTTCTTGTTACTACTAGTAAGGCACTTGTTACTAGAAGCAAAGCACTTGTTCCTAGTAGCTTCTTGTTACTACTAGTAAGGCACTTGTTACTAGAAGCGATGCACTTGTTCGTAGCTTCTTGTTACTACTAGTAAGGCACTTGTTACTAGAAGCGATGCACTTGTTCCTAGTAGCTTCTTGTTACTACTAGTAAGGCACTTGTTACTAGAAGCGATGCACTTGTTACGTTCGTAGCTTCTTGTTACTAGTCCAAAAATACAATTCAATAGATCCAAAGAAAATGTGCGAGCGCTTTTGAAGGACGCTCCCTTGAAGAAGCGTGAGCCATCCTGTGTCCAGTTACTAGAAGCGTACTTGCTCCTAGTAGTAAGGCCAGGAGCCCCTAGTGCGTTCTCGTTCCTAGTAGCGATGCCCTTTGTTACTAAAAGCTTTAGTAGCTTGGAGCGAACTTCTCTCTTAATCAAGTAGGTGCCTGCTTAAGAGAAAGGAGGCGCCACGGGCTAAAGAGAAAGGTCTACGAGTACTTTTCACTTTCTTTCGATTCTTTCCGAAATGGAGTCCTTACGGCCAGATTTGTCTTTGCTTTGTGGTCAGTGCCCGCCTGTTACACCGGGTTGCATCGGATTCTCCGACTCTGGTGTTTGATTTCGCCTTCGTACGCTTCTGGGTTTGAATCTTTTGGATCTTGAGAGTATTCGCTTCCTTTGTTCCTAGTAGCTTCTTGGTTCCTAGTAGTACGGCCAGGAGCCCCTAGTAGCGTCCTTGCTCCTAGTAGCGATGCCCTTGTTCCTAGTAGCTTCTTGGTTCCTAGCGAGTATTCGCTTCCTTTGGAAGAAAAGCCAGAAGTAATGGAGTGCACATTGTGACTCGTGAGGTTTTTCTCCAAACCGCTCGGGATTTGTGCTGAGCCTTCGGGTAGAGCTTGCATCCATTGGGTTCAAGAAGCTCTACTCACCCTTCCGGAACCCTGCCTTCGTGGAGGTCCAAAGTTGCCTAAGAGAGCGAGGTGTCAAGACATAAGTATATAGTGCAATTACGGAGCACACTACACCCGAATGCATTCATGAAACATTTGGAATGGAATTCCCGAAACAGTATTCCATCATCTTTGTGGAGACAGGCTGCCGTGTCTTTTAGGGCCACGGTAGATCAGTTTTGATGTAACATTCAATGCCCTGGAGGCTGGTGTGAAGCAGGTGACAAACCTATCATCCCAAGCAGAGCTCTTGAAGTTTGCATCGAGCTATGGAAATTGTATCATCGAGAAGGCCTTCTTTGGAGGTGTTTTGTGTCTATGCTTTCGAAAAGGTGGTGAGGAAGGCTTTCAAGTGGAGCTGGGTAGGGATGTGTTTGGCGTGAGCTGGCAACACCGTGGCGGTGGTCCGCTTAAAGTGGAGTCCAAAAAGCCTCTAAGTTGCGAACAGCTGGAAAAGCTCTTGCGAAGTTGGGCCAAAAGCTTTGGCGGTGGCTCGCGAAAAGGGAGGAACGTTGTTGTGGTGAGGCTAAAATTGGCACCCAGTTCCAAGGTGGGAACAGCTGAAGAAGTTCACACGTTTCCTTTGGTTGTGAGAGAATCAAGATTAAAGAAACAACATCAGACAATTGCCAAAGGGTTTTCTCTATTTCGAGTGTGATAAAGCCTGTGTACAGGTGGAAAGTTTAGCAGTTCCGGATGAGCTTCTTCAGATGGATCTTCAAAGGAAATTGGATTTGGAGAAGGCTAGCAATGACCTGAAGAGAGCCGAGAGATCTCGCAGTCTACCACAGCTTTGTGATGCCTTGGATGAGGCTTTTCAGTGTCATTTGGATGATCCTTTGTTGGAAGAGCTCCAAGAAAAGCGTCATCGACTCACTGATGCAGAGGAGTCTTTGAAGAAAGCGAGCTCCGATATCTTTCGCTTGGGTTTGGCCCTAACGGAAGCAGAAGAAGCAGGATTACCCGAGTGGAACAGGGAGAAATTTGAAGAGATGAGGAAGCTACATCGCCGGCTCTTGGAGCAACGACATCAGTCTCGCTTAAGAGCTGCTTTATCCGAAGTGACCTTGGGTGATCTAGTGGATGTCCTACAGTGTGCTGTGCAAGATGACTGTTCTCATTTGTCCGAATTCCAGGAGGTCGAGTCCAAACTCGTCGCTTGGATTGGTCGCCTGACACAAGAGGCGATGGGCTCTGACTCAGAGGGGACGCTCAGGACGCACGTGTCGCGTGCTCAAGAGCAGCTAGAGACTCTACGCCCACTTCTCGAAGGGGACGCACGTGACGCACGTGACCACGCGTTGGACCGGCCGACGACACGAGCTGCGCAGCAGTTCCGGGAGGCCGTCGTGCAGCTGCAGCGGCGCAGTGAGGAGCGCATTGCGTTGGAGCGGAGGCGTAATGAGTTGGAAGCTTCGCTGCAAGAGATTTTGCATCGAGCAGAAGATACAGAGACATCCAAGGAGGAGAACATTTACCAAGAGTCGCTTAGCCATAAGACATTTAGCTGGGCAATCTTGGTGGAGGTGTCAGAGGGACTTTGTTGGTTTTGAAAATGCTTTTCCATTATGTCTAGCTTTCGTTTTTGATTTCTCCCACATGGACGAGAAGTCAAAAGCACAAGTCTCGAGATGGTTTCCGAGGCTCCAGCAAAGGCTTTCAGAGACATCCCAGCTTCCTCTTGAGACACAGAGATCACTGGAGGCTTTGAAGTCCCGCGGTGATACGGTCTTGGAGGAGCAGGGACTGGGATGATTCGATTCTTTTCTGGCATGAATGTTGTTCAGGACCTTTCAACAACTGTCAACATTCATGCAGAAACCCCGAATTCGGAGATCGGCCAATTGAGAGAGTTTCAACCGGAAAGTTAGTCCTTGGTGAGTCTTGTAGAGTTGATTAGGTGAGCGATGTACTACGAATGTGTTTAGCAAGGACGCTACTAGGGGCGTTCTTGGCCTTACATAACGAAGTTGATTTTTCGCCTTCTAGGCCGCCTTCCAGGCGGTTCCGTCAAGTTGCTTCCAGGAGAAGCGGAGCATGGATGAAACTGCTCAGCAGCTGCAGCAGAAGCTTCGAGCTGCAACCATCTCGGAGAGCTGTGAACCCGAGATCCTGGAGTCCACCTTGCAGGAACGCTACCAACACGGCCTTGTGTAGATGTAGATTCAGTGTAGATTATCATTTTATATCTAGATTCTTGAACTTTTGCTTAGAGGCTTCTTTTAAGGAAAGAAGAAAGCCAGGAAGTAAAGGAAAGGAACATGGCAAGGTATCAAGTCTAAAGGTCTAAAAGAAGCCGAAAAAGAATAAGACAAAAGGGACAATGAAAGAAAGGAAGAAAGAAAAAAAGAAAGAACGACAACATATCGTGTTCAAGACCGTCTAAGCGCACAGGAAAAGGACATTGGTCTCGCAGTTTTGGCTTCATTTAACAAGAACGCAACTTTTGGCCACTGGCCTTCACGTCTCAACAACGCTTTCTACCACAACTTTGGCTCAAACTTCCAAAAGTCCGGAATGCAAAGCAACCCAAGCGCTGGCCTCCAACCTAGAAGCGGTGCACTTGTTCCTAGAAGCTTCTTGTTACTACTAGTAAGGCACTTGTTACTAGAAGCGATGCACTTGTTCCTAGTAGCTTATTGTAGGAGTGCAAAGCAAGCCTTGCTAAAATGCTTTCTTGTTGAGTGTCCCATAAAGCCATTTTTGATTTTGAACGAAGGTTCCGAAGGATTTTCCGATATTATGTATTTATTGTAATCATTTGCCACTTTCAGATACTGCCAAGCAATTTGAATGTACTCTTTGGTTGTCAAGAACGCGGGTTAGCAGGCATTGTCAAGCATTGCTTTTTGATTTCTTGCCTTCGCGACAGACGGGGTGGACCAAGACTAAGACAATTTCCATAGGTTCCGTTTTTGCATTTTATCCCCTTGGACTGGCCCTTAAATGGAACTCACCTGTCTCAGCCCCTCTGCCTCGGCACCTCTCATTGCAGGATGTGGCGGTGAAGCAGCGGAGTGGCGCCCTGCACCGGGCAGCTCTCTCGATACAGCTGCTTTGCTCGGCGAGAAAGTCTGGGACTCAAAGCTGCGCACCTACTAGCGATGGCCTCCAACCTAGTAGCGATGGCCTCCAACCTGCTAGCGATGGCCTCCAACCTACTAGCGATGGCCTCCAACCTGCTAGCGATGGCCTCCAACCTACTAGCGATGGCCTCCAACCTGCTAGCGATGGCCCAACCTACTAGCGATGGCCTCCAACCTACTAGCGATGGCCTCCAAC